AAAAAAAAAAAAGGAAGAAAGGTACTGAGTGAATTAAACAGGTAGTTTTTAACCTGCAAAAAGTAAAAGCTTGTGGTACATTTCATTATCCTGAAAGTCACAGATAGAATGGGCATATTTAAAAATTTTTATCAATCTTATACAAAGAATATCATTGCTCAAGGCAGACTTCTGACAGTGCCAATCTGTGTGGTTCTGTGCTGCAGGCTCTGTGAGGTTAGTGTGGGCACTTTGAATAGGCTTTATTATTCCATTCAAAATAATTACGTTTAGATCTGAGTAGATAAATGAAGTTAGTACAAAAAATAGTGTTTTTAATGTGTATTTTAATGTGATGATTTTCTATTACATTGCAGGCTTTACTCATCAGTCTTAAGTATGGTTGCTTTATGTGGCAATTAGGAGATGCTGATACTTGTTTTCAGATCCATAGTATGGAAAATAAAATGAGCTTTATAGTACATACAAAACAGGTAAATATTTGTCTATTATTTTGAATTTCTAATGAACTACTATGTTAGTAAAGTTATTTCTTTTTTTAAAAGTGACATAATCCATTTAACTTCGAGGAAAGTCTCTAATATTGTATGAAATTAAAATACTTAAGACCAAACATAAAGGCAGGACTTTCCTAAGCAAGGAAAGCCAGGAACTTACCTGAATAATTTGTTTTAGTCTTATAACAATTAAACTCTTTCTTGTGTCATTTCTTTTAATTCTGGACAATATTCCCTGTCTCTTCTTCCAAGGCATTAAGAAGTCCTTCCCTGTTCTTGACCTGCCTGAGTCCCTAGTTATATCCAGTGGGTTGCTTCTCAAGTCCCTTCAGAAAGCCTGAGTAAATACTCCCTCTGTACTATTTCTTAAACAACTGCCTCCTAATAGGAAAGTTCCCTTTCAAATAGATAGGGAACTGCCCACTGCCATGTATGTCGTTTAAACATTCTTACATGTTTCATATTTATTGTTGATGTATATTTTGCTTTATAGGCTGGTCTCGTGGTGAAACTGTTAATGAAGCTAAATGGACAGTTAATGCCCACTGAAAGAAACTCGTAAAAGGAAAGTAGCTGGTACTCAAGCCACCACATTTTGTAATGCAGTTTTTTTTCCATGAAAGATTTCTTAAAATATTACTTTTAACAAGGCATTTAGTCTCTTGTAATATATATGTATACTATTACATTGTACAGAATCTGTACTTATGTTTGGTGTGTAATATACCAATTAGTTTTATATAATATCCTCATAAGCTATTCTAGTTTTTGAGAGAAACACAAAAAATTGTAGATTGATAAGTCTGTGTAATATTAGAAAAACAGTAAGCTTTATAAAAAGTTATTTTTGGTAAATGGTAAAGAATTTGGAGTGGAATGTGATGAGATTAAAATGTAGCTTTGGTATAACTTCATGTGTTATTTCTAAATATATTGAAAGTCAACATGATTTGAATAACAAAAATGTATTTTCTACTTGAACCATGTAACACTTATTTAAAACAGTTTTCTGCAATCTATAAACATTTCTCAACATGTTTTTAAAAGTTAAAATGTATATCTAGTATAAGGTAGTGTTTCTCAAAGTATAGTTCTTGAACCCTTTATATCCTAATTACCTACGTGCCTCTTAAAAATGAAGATTTCAGATACTCCAGATAAATTCATTCACTCTCTGGAAGTAGCAGAGCCTGGAAGCTTTTCCTAAGTTTGGTTTTGTTTTTTTGCTTTTTTTCTGTTGAAATAATTCCAGACCCAATCAGGAATTTAGATTATTAAAGTCGAGATATTACACAAAACTGCCTAGCCCACAAGTACACACATATATAAACACACATTTTAAATGACAATCTCTGTATGTTATAGTTGCATTTGTTAAATACATGCTGTATTTTTTATGAGTTGACTTGGTGGTTTATTTATATTGCCTTTGCACTCTAGGAAGTAGATTACCAAACATCTGGTTGTTTCATTTAGGGGAGTACTGTTATAGATAAGGAGCTAACTTTATTAATGTGCTATTTAATAAACTAGAAACTACTGTCATTTCAAATTAATAGACTGATGAGTTTGAGATAAATTTGGAGATGTAATAGTCCTATTTAAAGTTGTCCTACAGATTGCAAGTAATTTTTATATATCATTATCTACTCTTTACATTAACTTCTGCTTATTTTTAAGGGTGTTGTGTCTAAGCCTTATTAAAATTAAGATTATGTGGGCTGAGCGCAGTGGCACATGCCTGTAATCCTAGCACTCTGGGAGGCCGAGGTGGGAAGATTGCTTGAGTTGAGGAGTTCGGGACCAGCCTGAGCAAGAGCGAGACCCCATCTCTACTAAAAATAGAAAAATTAGCCCAGTGTCATAACTCCCACCTGTAATCCCAGCTGCTCCGGAGGCTGAGGCAGGAGAATCTCTTGAGCCCAGGAATTTGAGGTTGCAGTGAGCAATGATGATGCCACTGCACTCTACCCAGGGTGACAGAGCGAGACTCTGTCTCAAAAAAAAAAAAAAAAATTAAGATTATATGGTTAAGTAAGGTTAATAAGAAAGCCTGATTTATCCTTAATTCTGTGCTAGGCACTTTTGATTCTATATAAACAATTCCCTGTTCAGTGTCATTCATTCCAGTGTCCTCAACTGTTAGTAAATACCCTGTTGACTCCCAAACCTAAAATTTCAGCCTCAGTTTCTCTTCTGAACTCTAGATTTTAATTTCCAAGTTCCTGTTATTCTAACTCCATCTAAATGGTATACAAAGAACTTGGGTTTCATCATAGCTGGAAACAATTTGTTTCCTCTACTCGTTCCATTCTGTCCTTCCACTGTATTCCCTCTGTGGTTAATGGCATCATCAAATTGCATCCAGTTGTTTAGCCTGGAAATCTTGGAGTGGTCTTCAACTTTTCCCTCTTTTCTCACCCTACACTTCTGTTGATGAAGTCTTTCAAATGTTTTGTTAGTCCTTTCCCATATTCCCTCCCTCCCTGGTTGCACTGCAGCCATCCTTGTTCAAGTCCCCACCATCCTTTCCTTGGCTTGTAGTAGCTTCCTACGCTTGAGGGGGGCTCTACACCCTGCCTACCTATTTGCCACACTGATGGCAAGTTAACCTGTGTCATCAATCTGATTATTTTTATTACCCTGTGAAAACCTTTTATGATTACCATTATATGTAGAATTAAAGTCCAAATTCCTTAATATTGAACATAAGGCCCTTAATGCACTATTGCTAACCTGCCTTTCAAGATTAATGGCTAACCACTCATCCCATGCTCCAACCCAGTGTTTCCTGACCCTCTGCAGTCACATGGGGAAATTTAATACTTTCTGATTCAATAATTTTAGGGTGAGGCCCAAGCATTTCTGTTTTTAAAGTATGCCATGTGCTTTAGATGTACAGGTAGGTGTTAGAAATGTAGTTATAACACACTTTAACTAGGAAATAGCTGAATTTATTTCCTTTCACAGAGAGGTGAGGATTCAGTGAAACTATATCAAATAATTCCCTGCTCCATAGAATACGGCGTACCTTCCTAGAGTTGTACAGTATGGCAGCCTTATAGAGAAAGAAAGAGGAGACTGTTAGAGTAGCATAGCTATTAAAGACTTAAAAATATATAGCATTAAAAAGTTAATTTTCAAAATTGGTATTGAGAAAAAAAATAATTGATCATTTGTTAGACCGTAACAAACCAGAAATAACAATGGGGAAATTCAAACAACTTATGAATGCCTCATATTGGTGAGGCATTATATGTGCACTGGGGATAAAAGATAACCATTTTCCTTTCATCATTCTTTCAGTAAATATGAGTACCTAATTATGTGCCAGGGATCCAGAGGCAAAGAAAACAAAGTCCTTGCCTTCAGGGAACAAAGGTGAATGAGAGAGACAGTAAATACCCATGGAAATATATAATTATAAACTCAAATTATTGTGATAAAAGAAAAAATGTGCAATCTAAGCATAAATAGGGAAACTGGATCTAGTCCAGTTTCGAGATCAGGAGAGGTGTCCCTGAGCAAGTGATGCTTGAGTTGACATCTGAGGTATGAGCAGGAATTAATTATGTAAAGGCAGTTGAGCTGGAAGGGAAGTGAGGAACGATGTTTTGACCCCAAGGACAGTCCTGGAGAACTGATGAGGGAAATTACAATTTTCTCATGTTCAGCTAAGATGTGAATTCAAATAATTGTTTCTCCAAATCCCAGCAAGTGAATTTCCATTCATAAAATAAAATATAAATAAAACCAGAATAGCTAACACTGTACATGATAAATTAGAGAAAAATTTGCTGAAGAATCACAAGATTAAAGATTGACCCTAGAAAAACCAGGCTTGATAAAAATATTCAGCAGAGTAAAACTTCATACAGTTGTTAACCAAATTTAATAGAAGAATTGCAGTAATAAAATTTAGATTTTAATTTGATCCTGAAGAACTCAATCACAAAGACTCTAATTGGAAGAATTTAATATGTACAAAAAACTGGTGAATCGATTTCTTTATAATTTACATAGAAAAATGATTCCAAAAAAAAAATTTCAGTCAAATGAAGATGGAAAAAGTACAATTGTTTTTGCTACATTGTGTAGAAAACTGATCAAGAAATTATATTAGCTTGAGTGCATACGAGAAAATAATTTCTCAACAAAAGTCCATCTGTGATGGTATGATTCTCATTTAACATCTGTATTCATAAACAAAGTCAGAATGTCTCTATGGGTCACGTATGGTATCTGGAAAGGCAGGGGTAGGCAGACTGAAAAGGCCCTAATGCAGAAGGAGCACACCCTGGCTGTTTTTAGAGCCAGAGTGCTTGGGACAAAGGAATGTCTTTGAGATATCTTAGGGTGTAGATGAGGAAACCAGTTTCAACACATTGAGCTAATTTCTATGATAAAAAGGAAACACTGGGTGGTTCCAGATTCACTGAAAAGGCACCCAAATGGGCAGGAAAGTAAGAACTTATTCCCC